CATGTGACATATTAAGGGACTAATGAATAAATAATTAAATAATTAAGAAATAAATTGTAAATGGGTTAAATTAAGCAGTTTCTAGAAATAATTGTTATTTAATGAAAGTATTAATTTTAAGGAGTTATAAATAGCCACTAACATGAAACAAAATCCTTTTCCTAATAGAAAAATATTGTTTGAAACTCTAACCATCACAAAAGATAGAAAGAGTAGAAGAAAGAGTCAAAGAGAATGAAATATTGGTTTCCCTCTTCTCTTAAGAAGATCAATGTGATATAAGTTTCAAAAGGTTTTTCTCTATAAAGAAAGATATGTAATATTCCTTTTTTATGTGAGAATCATGAATTTTAAAGGTTTTTCTTAATTTATAGTTTTAGAAAACCAATGTAACACTATACTTTGTTTTATTAATTATTGTTTTCCTTTAATAATTATATGTTGTGATGTTCTAAGGTGTAGTGTTGAGAGACAATAAGAGTTAAGTAACTTCTGAGGAGTCTTTAGGTGTTGTAGAGGGTTTCTTTAGGTAGAGGTTTAATTTGACCCAAAGAGGAGAAGTATAGAAGGTCTCTTTTGATAATTGAGCTTCATAAGTTTATTGTCAAGATTTCTAGAGAGACAGTGAGAGGGAATCTGAAGCTCTAACTCTTCTTCCTTCTTTCTAGGCTCCTTGAGTATGTAAGGATCATCGTTGGATTGTTGATTCAAAGTCGAAAGCTAAGAATCAAGGTTATGTTGGTACGAAGCTTTGATGATAGCTCAAAAATGTTACCTTCTTCTTCTTCTCCTTTCTCGGTTCACTTTGAATCCTATGTAAGGGAAGCTAGGGTTAATTTATGGTTGATTTATTAAATTGTATGTGTTTTGGATTTGTTAAATTCATGGATGTATTGATGAATTTGAAGGTTAAAATTATGTATGATACATGTTGGAAGTTTTTGGTGTTCTTATGTACGATGGAGGTGAAATACATGATTTGATATTAACAATTGTTGCATGTTGATATTCTGAGTGGATTTGAGTTCCTAAAGATGTAGCTGTATGAATTGTTACAATGCATGTTAGATTTCTTATTTTTCAGATGAGGGGAGGGCCAATTCATGAATCTATTTTGTGTAGATTTCACTATCGTCGCGAGCGTGCCTTTAAGGCTTCAAGCATATCTCAAATTAGGAGCCTTTGACTTGATCACATCAGGCGTGATTTGAATGGCAACGAGTATGAGGTGAGATAATTGACTCTACTTGAACTGATGTCGAGCGCCCATGGAGTGGCACCAGGTGTGAGGAGAGAGATATAATGGACTTTGCCATGCCAGACATGAAGGCCCAAGGGTTCCCTACCTTATATATTCATATTGGGCATATGTTGAATGGCACCGGGCTTAGGCAAGGAAAAGATCTCCCTGTCTCAATGGCATTAGGCACAAGGTGGATAGTGTTGAGCATGGTATGCTTCATAAAATTTTGTGGTTTGATTGATGATACAGTGAACATGGATAGGTTAAATGAATCTATTGCATATTGTGTGTTGATAGGTGGTATTTGTTTTATGTATATTGATCAAAGATAATATATATACATATATATGTGTGTGTGTGTGTGTGTTTATATTGTTGAATTGTTAAGGTGCGATGTTAAGAATGCTTTAGAGATCTAGGTATGTTGTGTTGCTACACTGTTGAAGCAATGTTGTTGAGAAAGTTTTAAGCATATAGGAATGATATGTTGATCAACCTAGGAATAGAAGATATGGTGTTTTTGAAAGTTTGATATCCCATTGTGAGGATATAGTGTGGTGTTCCATGAGCCTAGTTGTTGAAAACTCTTCTTGAATTGTTAACTCTTGAAATGGATAATTAAAATCTCCTCTAGGACCTTAGTTGATGTGGTATGTGGACCAAGTCGAGACATATTGGCTATAACTTAGCAATGTTGATCCGTAGTGGGTAAGGTTAAGGCATACATGTATAAAGTGAAAAACCAAGCAATGTACAAGGTTGACAACTTAGCCCTTAATTGAGTACTAAAAAGGTATAGTATTTGGAGGATAGTCGGTGGACTAATCCCATAGAGGGCTTGGTGTTGCAAAACTAATGTCATGGTAGGCACATACCCAAATTGTTATACCTTGACAGAAATACTAGACTTCTTAGTTTAAGTGACGACATCTAAGAAGTCATGTTATTAGGGATTGGTATCTCAATTTGGTTGTTGACATAGTAGGTGTAAAAAGGTGTGTTAATTAGTTCAGTAGGATTAAGTCACTTAAACTGCTCACTCTTGTTATAGGAAATCTCCATAGGTGAATACGTGATGACACATGTAGTTGAGGTGTATGCACATGATGTGGTGTTGTTCGTATGCTTGTTGGTTTTATTGTTGAATGGCATTAATGTGGTAAAATATGAATTTTCATATGTTGCTAACTTGCTTGTATTGTAAGATGTTGAATGTCATGTTGAGGTGATTTGTTGTGGCACTATGATGTACACCATGGAGTGATGTTGTGTGTGGCTTTCATGTTGGTGGTTGTAATATAATTGTTTTTCTTCTATATTGTATTCTTTTTACACTAGCTTACCCTTGTATGTTTTCCTGGTGGCTGGATTATGATGATAATGTTTATATGGGAGTAAGACATGGTTAAATAAGAGGCTTGATATTAGGCCATGTTAGCTATGGGCGAAGTTGTGGCTTTTTGGACTACCCTGCTATAGTAAAGTTGATTGAATGGCAACTTAGAATTAGTATTGGATACCAGATATTGTACATGTGTGCGTGTATATATATATGTGTTTGTGTCTGTCTGTGTATGTATGTATATATGTATGTATAAACATTTTTCTTTCCTCATATATAGTTGGTTTACTCATATATATTATGATGAACATATCCAAGTATTGTGCTTATATTAATCCTAGGTAATTACTTATTTTTTTTGCTAGTAGTTGATCCATTGAGTGTAAGAATTATAACAGTTTATTATAATCAAAACTTACAAAATGTCACTGAGTGAAATGTCATGGAATGCAATCATTAAGACAACAAATTTGAGGGTTGTTACATTCAAACCATATAGAGAGACAATCTTTATCATTTTTAAAAGGACAAGCTTTCTTTCATTAGTGTTGCTTTCATGGAATAATATCCTTTAAGTAACATTTTTTCTTGAATTGCAGCGATGTTTTTTCAATGCCATACATTTGGCCCACATTGTTGCCTTTGACCTACATCTTATTTTTCCTTACTAGTAATATGTTCCAAGACTACCTCAATGTTGATTAAGTGGGTGTCGTTGTTCTAAACTGATATTGAGTACAATCTTCTATTTGTTTTTGTCTTGTTAAGATCTTCTTTCTCTTTCTCTTTCTGTTTCAAGGCTTCTATTTTAACTGTTTATGTGTATATGTTACTATTGGCTACAAATCATGTGCCTTTGGATGAGTTTTGAACTTTTTTCAAATTCTTCAAAGTGTCTAATATTGTTTGTCTTTTGGCATATTTCAAATTATTGACTCTCAAGTTGAAGGATCAAATTGAAATGGTGTCCATTTTTCTTTCCAACTCATACTTTTTTATCAACAAATTAAAACAAGACTTCATTCATCAAGACAATTACAAACGGGTACAAGTGTTACCTAGTCACTCAACATGCAAAAATTACATACTATATAATTTCAAAGTTGTGTTCCAAACAATTGTTTGTTATGCACTTAGCTTTTTAAGTGTGCAAATCAAAATCTTTTTTCTATTTTATCAATTTTTATTGGTACTAATTAAAATTTTCCTAGTTGTCATCTTTGAGAAAACTTTCCATTACTCCATCATAAAGTCATTAGGGAAGTTAATTAGTGAGATAGTATGTAACTAAATTATTAAATAGTTCTTTTACTTATCCATTGGCATGTCCTCCTACACGAAAGCTTCCATAAGATACTCAAAATTTTGTATTTTGTATCTTCCCCATTGTTAAAATTTCCACTTTGTCACTATCTCTTTTCTCTTAACGCATCCTCTTCAATCTCCTCTCTTATTGTTGTTTAAACTTCAAAATAATTCTTACAATAAACAGTTTAGATAAACACATAAAGAAGTAAAAATTTATTTATTTGATAAAAAATATTTTTTTAAAAATTAAATAAACAGATCCATTTTCTCAAATCACATTTATTAAAATAATATTCCATTTCATTCTATTTCATAGTATTTTGGAAACACTAGTTGAATTTAGATTTATTTATTTATTTATGAGCAGTTGTAGGAACCACGTTGTATCTAAAGGTAATCCATATTGTGTTGGTGCTTTCGCGTTTTATACGCTATTTTGCTGCAGTTACAGCTAAATCAAACATGCTATTATTCAAAGTCATTTGAGTCATTCTTCACATGGCTCAACTTTATTTGTAATTATTGCCAAATAAGAACAGTGCAAATAGACAACATATATATATGTTTTACATAACAAGTTCCACAAGGAATTTTTACGATAATGATAATATTATTTGTACAATTTATTGTATAGATTATTACATGAATAATACTCCCATCATTCTTTGCAATTAATAGTATTCAAATAATAAGTCTTAAGATTTTAATTTTTTTATACATATTGTCAACATAATTTTTTTATTATTATTATAACACATTTATTTTTTCGTCGTTCTAAGAACTGTATACATATACTGACAAATATGTCAATGGCACGATTTCTTGTTCGTACATCGCTATCCTGTTTCTTATTGGTTCTACTCTTGATTCATGTCCACAAATTTTAAATGGAAGAATTTTAAACGTGGACCAAATCGAACAAGATACAAGATGATGACTATAGTTAGTCTACAAAAATTATCATAAAATATAAACCACATAATTATGTAAGAATTTGGACTAAATATAAAATTTTGTTTAGTTATCTTCAAATAAAATTTTTATTATCGAATATAAACTAAAAATATTAATTGTAAAATTTCTTATTAAATACAGAAAGAGCAAGACTGCAAGTGAGAAAACATTTTTATTTATTATAAAATTGGATTCACAACCCCTTGCAAGTGCAACAAGTTGCAAACCAAAATGCATAATTCATGTGAAATTCATTGACAGCATACCAAAGCAGTGCCATACAACTGTCTATAAAACACAATAATAATATATAAATGATAAACAATACAAACGAAAGAGAAAAGGAGTGACACTTCTTTCTTTTTATGGGACAAAAACGCGCGCGGAAACTTTGCTTCCGTTGTGAAGTGCTTCTTCCTGATGCTATCAACAACGCTAGCTCTTTATTGGCACATATTCCTTATAAACAACCTACAAAAGTACGTTCACATGGTTAGAATATTAGTCTATCAGCCCCTTTCTTTGATTATTCCCTCAATATATAGTATCAATAAATGAGAAAATAATTTTTCATTAAATATATATATATATAAATACAGGCTAAAATGCTTTATTTAGGTTAAGGGTTTTTTTTTTACAAATTAAGTTGTTTGCATAATTTTGGAAGGTTAGTTTTAAAATATTAATATACATAAAAGATTAAATGTTCGTAAAAAGATAAAACTAATTTTACATGATTGTATTGTATACTGTGTTAATTACAAGAAGGAAAACTGTTACGGAATTATTCTCTTGAAAAACGTGAGAGTCGTAATCAAAGCTTTGTAGTAAAAGGTTAAGATCTTTCGGTAATAATAATAAAATAGGCTTAAAAGAATATACATGCTTAACAAATCTGAAACAAACAAATAATTGATGGCCGTATGCTTCTAAAAATTTCGTCAAAAAATATTAAGTTGAAAACCCCCGTCACAACTTTGTAACTAACTAAAACAAAATCATATCAACCACGTAAAAACTTTCCTTTTATCAGCAATCAAAAACCTTTTAAATTTTGAAAATTCAAAAGATGAAAATAAAAAGAAAAGAAAAAACATGATAACATCACACTTCCCATTATTAGTTGATTTTCTAAAATGGCTGAGTATTTAGTTAATGACTTGCACGTGGCAGCATGTAGAGAGCACTTAAACGTACATATTAGATCTAAGAAAAATAAAATATGTTTTCATAATCCAGTATAAGATACTTCGTAGCAATTCTAACTTATGAGGTTAGTTTTATCGGAAGAAGTTTAATTTTTTTCTTAAATGTACTTGTGAACAAGCTTATCTACACACCCTTATACCGTTGTTATGATAATGTAGGTTTTGTTAAGAAGCTTACCACGTGAAACACTATGCAAAACCACTATCTAGTAGTGATATGGAGGAGGAGGGGATGCATAGATGTAATGTGGTGGAGGTGGTGAGTGAACAGGAGGAGGAGGAGATTTATATTTGTAAACTGGGGGTGGAGGAGAAGGGTACTTGTAGGGCTTAACTGGTGGAGGAGGTGACTTATATTTGTACACTGGGGGTGGTGGGGATGGGTATTTGTATGGTGGTGGTGGTGGAGATGGGTATTTGTAGGGTGGAGGAGGAGATGGGTACTTGTATGGTGGTGGTGGTGGAGATGGGTATTTGTAGGGAGGAGGAGGAGATGGGTACTTGTATGGTGGTGGTGGTGGAGATGGGTACTTGTAGGGTGGAGGAGGAGATGGGAACTTGTATGGCGGTGGTGGGGGAGATGGGGATTTGTGTGGGGGGGGGGGGGATGGGTACTTGTATGGTGGTGGTGGTGGAGATGGGTACTTGTATGGGGGTGGAGGGGATTTGTACTTGTAAACTGGGGGTGGTGGTGATGGGTACTTGTATGGTGGGGGTGGTGGAGACGGGTACTTGTAGGGAGGAGGTGGAGATTTGTATTTGTAAACAGGTGGTGGTGGAGATGGGTACTTGTATGGTTTCTTTGGTGGAGGAGGAGGAGATTTGTACTTGTAAACTGGTGGAGGTGGAGACTTGTATTTGTAAACTGGTGGTGGTGGAGATGGGTACTTGTAGGGTTTCTTTGGTGGTGGAGGAGGAGACTTGTATTTGTACACTGGTGGAGGAGGAGACTTATACTTGTACACTGGTGGTGGAGGAGAAGGGTACTTGTATGGTGGGGGTGGAGGAGAAGGGTACTTATAAGGAGGAGGAGGTGACTTGTATTTGTAAACTGGTGGTGGAGGAGACTTGTACTTGTAAACTGGTGGTGGTGGAGATGGGTACTTGTATGGTGGTGGAGGAGGTGATGGGTACTTGTATGGAGGAGGAGGTGATGGGGATTTGTATGGTGGTGGTGGAGGAGAAGGGGACTTGTAGGGTGGTGGTGGGGACTTGTATTTGTAAACTGGTGGGGGAGGAGACTTGTACTTGTAAACTGGTCCTGGTGGAGATGGGTACTTGTATGGTGGTGGAGGAGGTGATGGGTACTTGTATGGAGGAGGAGGTGGTGGGTATTTGTATGGTGGTGGTGGAGGAGAAGGGGACTTGTAGGGTGGTGGTGGGGACTTGTATTTGTAGACTGGTGGGGGAGGGGAAGGGTACTTGTAGGGCTTCTTATGTGGTGGTGGTGGAGGAGAGTGGTAATAGTAAGGAGGAGGAGGTGAATGCACTGGTGGTGGAGGAGAGTGGTAGTAGTAGGGTTTAGGTGGTGGTGGTGGAGATGAGTAGATGTAGTTGTCTGCACATATTTGAGGTGGCAAGGTGAGAGAGATTATTGTTAATGCAAGAGTGAGAGTAAGAGAGGCCATTGGAGACCCCATGTTGGTGCTGCCACTAGGGAAGGTAGTGCTACCCTTTATATAATTTCTTTCTTTTACCCTTTTATCCAAATTTTTTATCTTGGTTGGTGTACTTAGATTTTATCTCTTACTACAATTCTCCTTCCTAAAAAAAAATATGAAACTATTTTAAAATATAGACTGGAAAACCAATGCTATCCAAATTGGTTGTAGAACGCGGATTCGCTCTTGATAGAGACAGCTAGCCATGAATTACTTTAAAGAAGCAAATAATTAAATCTGGTCATTTGGAAATGTTGACTCTGCCCTTATTTTCTTTATAAAAGACCCCAACCATTATTTCATAAATCAATTATTTTTTAAACACACAACCCATACTTCTTAGAAAGGAAAAAATGGGGAAAAATATGATGTGATATAATATTAATAAATAAAAAAAATAACCATATTGATGAAGTGTTTAAAGAATTCGAAAGTCTAAAAATTTCAGCTCATTTCATATTTTCTTTTCCGTTGTGCCAATTTTCCAAATTATTGAAAATGAACAAACGCATAGTCTGTCAAATTATTGGTATTTGATGTAACCATCTTCTCTGTGTTTTCTTTTGATTCTATAGCAATCATTTAAAGCTTCTACATGTGGCCTAGTCATTTCATCTCTTCTAGTACTTCCCTGGGACCATGGCTGCCATAATATCTCTTATCTTTTTCTCTCTATTTGATGCATCGTGGGGGCTAAAACGAATGTGTACATATTGCATGGTATTTATTTGCTTTGGCTACTGCAGGAATTATAGGACCGACAAAGACAAGTGTATAACCTATGATTCCATTTACTTTCTTTGCTTTTTGAGCTTTTTACTGTCCAAAAGTACACAAATGTTGAATAACATAAATAAGCTTAAGAATTTGTCTTAAAATTGTATGTGACTTTTAATTGATTACATATGCACTGCATCAACATTATTTTACCTAACATGTACGTTGCAGAATTTAATAGTTTTATTCTGTTTCTTAATAATTTGTCCAATAAAATAATTTGTCAACATGAAAGAACAATAATCATGTATATATGATGAGAAAGGATATGTTTTATATGTACATATTTATAAAATATAAATACAGTAAGAAATTCATCGAGTATATTTGTACATTATTGACTCTGTGATGTGTATATATCATCTACCCAATAAATATAAGGAAAAAATTACTGACATGTGGAACGCTTATATATGCCCACATATATATTTGTCAATGCAATAAAAAAAATTCATTGGAATCCTACAAGACTACACATTATTGTTTATATAAACATGTATTCACACATACATAATTAACATGCTTTTCTTAATGTTTCTCTTCTCAGTTTTGAGTTTTTTAAATGAATTATACGTATTCCTTTTTTATCATTTTCAATAATTTTTAATTTATACTGTTTTTAAATTTTAACTAAATAATTTTACATATATTTCTTTTATATTTTTAGATATAGTTTATCCAAAACATTTTTCTCTAAAACATTTTTGTAGTTTTATACAATTTGTTAGAAACTTGCCAATTATGTAATTTGACCCCGCATATATACATCAACCAGCATTTTACGGGTGTTTAATCAATATGTAAGAGTGGGATAACTTGTTAAAACGATTTAAATTATTGATGAATTTAAACATTTACATACTTTTACTATTTATATAATTTAAAATAAAAAAAGTAAAATGATATGATATTTTTATAATTACTATTAAATTAACAATTTTTTTTAAAAAAATAAACTTTATAATTCTTTCTTTCTCATAAATTAGTAATATCGAGCAAAGGAAGTTTATAGGTTATTAAAAAAATGAAAGATTATCTTTTGTCCCTATATCAGGTAGATAGGCTCATATATATATCTCAGATACAGTTATTTTGTCCCTGTTCCAGGATATACCAAAGCCAAGTCAAATCTAAAAAAATGCAAACAGGCACTTACGTACTGAACCTACGATTTCTATGCTAACCTAAAGATGAATTAAAAAAGATGTACAATAATAAAGAAAGTAGTTGTCAATTTTCATTGGTACTTCATCCATTTTACTAGGTACAAGTAGGGTGGATCGGATATCAATAGTTTACTAATACAGCTAAGCATTTTTCTACCAATCAGTTGTTTATCCTTTATAATGTACATCAATTCTTGAACAAATACATTTAGCCAATGTAAAAGTCATTTCCCCATCAGATTTGAAATTATCATAGAAAATCACTTTTTACATCTGTTAAAGCCTCAATCGATGTAAGAATAACCGATATAAAAAATTTGTTTTTATATTAATTATCGCTTTAATCTATATAAAACATTGAGTTTTTTTTCTAATATTTTTTCTACATCATATGCTCAGAACTATAGTTTGTACCAAAGAAAAATATTGAGGACTAATGTCAAAATGACAAAGAATTATTAGGATCACATAATAATATTTCTTACTTTAATTAAAAACTCAGAATTATTGTAATTTTTACTTTTTATTGTTTATATTATAATTTTGTCTAAATTTAAGTTATTGTGAGGTCTCAAAAAAAAATAAAAAAGTTATTGTGAGTTGAAGATATAATAGAAACCAAACACAACGGTTTGAGAAAATGACAGAATGAAAATTTGGATGAAAATGATAGAATGAAAATCGAGGTAAGAGAACAGACAAGATTTTGGACAAATAAATTACTAGAGGAGGAATGATTGACAAAGTCACACTCACAATTGTTATAAATTTTGATGAGCAGAAGGATATGGTTCTAATTATGGGGAAATCAGTTGATTGATGTGACATCCTCTAACATATATATGAAATATATTCTTAGTTTAAATAAAATTTTTATAATTAAAATAATAAATTCATTAACATAAGAGTAGAGGATTCACATTCGTATATTTCAAATATAGTCAAATGTGGAATTTATAGTAAAATGAATCTTTTCCAAAACAGAATAACAATAAGGAATCCTAAACTAAATCTAGTTATGTCCCAATGTCACATATCCTATTAGAGCATCCTCAACTGAAGCCTAAACTTCACCACCAACATCCTCATGTTGATGATCACATGCAACACAATTTAAACATAGACAAATAACAATAAGGGAGTGAGAAACATCTCACTCAGGTTCAAGTACAGAAATAAAGGTTAGATAGCACACACACACAACAAACACGAGTCACAAGTATAAATCACATGTAAACAATACGCATACACAATCAATATCATTTGCACACTCATTTATCATGTAATGATGTCATGGACTCAACTCATAAATGCATGCATGTGGCGTCATATGGAAGTTTCGCATTTTTCATCACTGGTGACCCAAGGTACTCCTATAATAGCTTGTTACATCACTAGTATGCGACCTAAGCGGCACACCTAGAATAAGTCATTTCATCACATAGCCTGTTATATCACTGGTATGTGGCCTAAGTTGCACACCTGACATAAGTCATTTCATCACATAGTCTGTTACATCACTGGTATGCGACCTAAGCAACACACCTGACATAAGTCATTTCATCACATTGCATGTTACATCACTGGTGTGCAGCCTAAGCAACACACCTGGCATAAGTAGGGATGGCAACGGGGCGGGTCGGGTACGGGTTTCATGATACTCGTCCCCATCCCCACGAGTTAAACCCATCCCCGTCCTCGTCCCCATACCCGTCGGGTATAGATTTTCATCCTCATTCCCGTCCCCGTCGAGTATCGGGTATACCCGTACCCGTACCCGTCAATTTTTTTATTATTTTTTTTTGTAGGAAAAATAATATTTTTAAATTATTTTCTTTATTATATTATAATTATAATTAGGTTATTTCTTTATCTCATATTATAATAAATAATCACACATAAAAAATATTAAATTTTTTTAATATAATTAAATTAAAAGTGAGTATTAAATTAAAAATGAGAACGGGGACGGGTATGGGTACGAGTACGGGTACGGGTATGGGTATGGGTACGGGGCGGGTAAGTACATACTCGTACCCGTACCCGATTTAATATATTGGGTTTTACCCATACCCGTACCTGTACCCGGTCAAACCGGGTATTTCCTGTCAAAGTCGGGACGGGTTCGAGTATTACCCGCGGGTACGGATATATTTGTCATCCCTAGGCATAAGTCATTTCATCACATTGTATGTTACATCACTGGTATGCAGCCTAAGCAGCACACCTAGCATAAGTCATTTCATCACATTGCCTATTACATCACTGGTATGCGGCCTAAGCAGCACACCTAGCATAAGTCATTTCATCACATAGTTTGTTACATTACTGGTATGCGGCATAAGCGGCACACCTGGAATAAGTCATATATGCATATGATGCATGTCTCACATTCACAATTACATTGACTCAACACTTCACATTTCACATCTCATCATATCTCATGTCACATTATGTCACAATGTCATATCACAAATCATATGTTCACCTTTCACATACTCACATCATATTCTCATAGTCTCATAAAGAAACTTCTTGTCATCATATACATCAAAATAATACATAAATCATACCAAAAACTTATCTAAAACATGAAGCTATCATCAACATTATATATAATGCCTCAAATCATTCATAGATCATATTCTTAATTTTATCTCATAGGGTTTCCCAAAAGAACTCACAGAGCACTCTAATTCATATCAAAACTTATATGTTTTCAAAATTAATTACATATTTATATATCTTATTCAACAAGGAACACAACAGAAGAATCAGAAATCAAAACAGAAAACGTTCATATTTTGCTTGTTTCTCATAGGGTTCTCTCTAGAACCCACAAAGCACTCTAATTCATATCAAAACACATTCATTTTCAAAATTAACCACATACTCATGCATCACATCTAACAAGGAACACAACAAAGCAATCAGAAGGCAAAACAGACATATTCATACTTTGCATGTTCCTAGAAGCATGCATCAGGCAAGGGATTGGGGGTCAATCCGACTACCCAACAATTATTCCCACACCCGAGTGAGGTTTCTCACTC